CACACACACACACACACACACACACACACACACACACAATAAACACGCCTATGCACGCCAACACAGCCCTGCATGGCGTTCAGCAGGAATGACTAATCGACCATAATCCGGTTTACATTTTAAATATTATTATACCGTACACATAATTTATATTATAACCGACGACGAAATCTGATTACAATCCACGCAATCCGACAGCTATCGAGTCGTTTCGTGTGGTGCGATGCGGTGAATTTATATGAATTCATCCGCACGCTTCGAGATTTAATAAGCCTAAATATTGCGTCGCCGAAATTCCGCCTAAACTGTCGGTGCGGCCCAGTAATCCGCTCCAATCGAGTCGACAGCATGTCATATAGAGGATGAGTCGATAAACGGTCTACCTGCATGCGTGTGCGGGCCGCGCCTATACAGGCGATCTCACGGCGCAAACAAGAGAAAAACATTTCTAACTCCATCGGTACACATATTGCCGGCATCGTGATCCGTCCGAGCTCACGAGAGATTATTTCCCGTTCATTCAACAAAAGTGCCGGAGACAAGAAGATTCGCACTTCCTTCCTTCATCGGTGGCGTTACGCGCGCGGGTCTCCGGCGCGCAATGTTAGCACACACACGACTCTCTTGAGCAGGTTTTCGCCGGTTGAGTCATTTAAGTGCATTAAGAGCTATTTTGAATGCCATCAGTCGGCCGTCGGACAAACTGTGTGCAAACACTACCACAAAAGACGTCGCCCGTTCGCCATGTTATGCCTTGTTAGCAAAGTAAACACGGGGGACGAGCTGCGGGCTATGGCTCCGACTCATTGATGTCTTTTCGCTACGTTGCCCTTCTTCTACCCTGCGCACCGCGTTCGCCACCTGTTAAGATGTGAGCGCTTGCACGCGCGTCCCCGGCGAGTCTAGGTAGGCAGGCATCGCGTCTCCTGGCGCGTAGAACGAGTCTTTGTCACTGACAAGTCGTGAATTAACGCGAGTGGCGCAATGGCGGCGCGGCCGCGCGTTGAGCGCTTAAAATTTACGCGTCGACTTTAGAGAGGCATGCGTGACCTAGGAAGCGCAACGAGAGAAGTTATCTACAGCAGGTGCGTGGCGTTCATAGCGCCGCCACCATTTTGAAAAGGTGGTCGAGTTATATGGGGAACGCGGTTGACACCGAGAGAATGAAAGAGACATTATCTTAAAACCCGCACGTTTCTTTTGCCGAGTACAGCAGGAGCTATACCGAACGTGTGGTTTGTCCATCTGCTCGTATCAGCAATAAATCTGTTACGCGAACGAACAAACATTGAAACGAAAATAAACAATTTGCCTGCGTAACATCACTCTGGTAGTAGTGTACCCAAAGCGAAACCCGTAACTACAGTGTTGATAATTTTGGCACAACAATTCAAAATTCTGCGTTTTCGTCTTCCCGCAAATTTACACTAACTTCTCTGCTGTATTCTGCCTGCTATTTGATAAAAATGCTCCGTATCGTCCCGTTGCAAATTCACACCATAATCTTCATGTTCGTCTCCTTGCAAATTTAAACGAAATTCTCCTTTTTTTCTGTCTGCATTTTTAACGAATTTCTCTGTTGTCGTCTCGTTGCAGGTGACAATTCGCAGCACGGAAGCCAGGCGAGACACAAGGCCGAAATTGACCCTAATGAACTGTGGTTCAAGGCTGCGGTCATAGCCGTGCCGATTGCAGGGGCATGTATCCTTGTTATGCTCATCCTGCTCGCCGTGCGCATGCTCCGCAAGGACAGCCGGCGACACATGCGCCTCCTACAACTACGTCAGCAGAGGGCGCAGCTGTTCGTCGGCGAACACATCGACTTCTTTCCGGAAAAGAACGAAACGAACGCGAAGCTGAACACCCGACAGAATAACATTTGTGGCGGGAAGCATGTGAACATGAGCAGCGGCAGCAGCACCACACTGAAGAGCTGCGCATCGTCAACGACTCAGGACTCGAAACCGGTGAACACGAATCACCTCAACAATGTATATACGTCGGTGATCATCTGGGGTACGGATCTAGAGAAGGCCGATCCACACCCGCCTACGCCCGTGTAGAGAAGGTTACGATCCCCTCCCCCCAACCACACTCACCCATCCCTCACGCGCAATGCCCGTAGAACTTCGACTGTAAGAAGATGTCGGTTTGTCTTGTACTACGTTTATCTGTCGATCGAAACGAAATACGTACGCTCTGTCACTTCCAGCAGCCGAATCGATCAGTTTCTCGTCGAATGTTTCCAGTGCCACTGTGGCAATATTTTTTAGTTAGAGCCGAACACACTGACGTGCCAAACTAGGTCACCTACATGGCGGACCACAGAGGTGCGAGTTAGCTTCCTTACTACCATGCAACATACATCCCTGCAGGCACGGATTGTTAATTCATTGCCACGTACGAATTTGGAATTGTATACTATTTCTAACGAACGGATAAGTGCTACCGAATTCTAGTGTTAAACTTGTTAGCAACCAATTGACTGACATCCAATACAATGGCACGATAGGAAATCCATCGTCATGAGATTTGTAGGTATCTCATTGGGGGCAATCTACTTACGCCAGTAAATTGTGTCCAATTATTCCTCACAGTCTGACGCTGATATTAGAGCATAGAGTCGTATCGTGAAACGAGTTCTTAGCCGCGATTTGTTGGCCTAAAATCTACTATATCGTAACGCACTCCTTGTCTGTTTGCATCTGTACTTCTACTCGGTGGCGTTTCATGTCAGCCATACGCATGTTGGTGAAATATGTCACGGCTGCCTTTGTATGCATCCGATTTTCCAATTTTTCACGGGCTATATTGAAAAGAATATCGGTATCATAATTTTTATACGTACTTGTCGGAGATTGTATTTCTCTCGATTTCATTTCAACTCGCTTCAACCGAGAGAATTCTGGTGTTTCTTGAGGCGTGTTGAAATGAAATCGATTACGATTTCGTTCGTTATGAAGCGACTGAATACTAGTTCACTTCAACCGGCTTCTAACGCGAGAAAAGATAAGAATCGCGGATACTTTGGAATAATTCCTGTCAGTGTATGCACTGATCCTCTCGCAGACGTGTTCGTCTCTGACATCTTTACTATAATCTGTTAGACTATTAATACGGGTTCCACCGTTCTTCCACACGACGAAATAGCTTATTTTTTACTACGAACGAACAAGCAACGCCGTCACTCGATAGCCCGAATTTTCGTACGAGACTTCAGGCGGGAATTATTTTTGTAAAGCAAGAGGGTGCCTTCTTGTGACGAGAACCTACAGTGTAGTAGCAGCTACACGCGTAGCTTTCTTCGTCCGCTGGGTTTACTCCAGTTCGCGGCGTTTTTACTCCACTCTGTAAAGTAGTATGTAGATAGAAAATTCGGTATAACTCATTGACGTTTTATACGACTATTGCAAAGTTCAGTCGGCCACGTTTGTTTTAACAACGACGACTGTCGTACACTAAGACGAGGCGCGGGGGTAGCGGTAGCCACTAGCCAGTGGAGTGTTGCATAGTGGTGCCATCTGCTGGGGAGATAAGTGACGAAAAGTAGTTATACGGAAAAGGGTTAAACGGATTGGCCGAGGTGTATCCGTCGGTTTCTCTAACATTGTAAATTAATATTTAATGTAAAGAACTAAACATTGTATGATATAGGTAATGTAAATGTCTCTACGCGAGAGTGCGATGATTTTACCGTGAAGCTGCTGTGAAATTTTGGTTTATTTGCCTTACATCATGGATATCCAGTTGCTCAAAAGACTGTGGATATGTCAAACCATCACCAAAATGTTTGCTTCACTTGTACATATTGGCTATGCTGTATAATATTTTATGAAATGTGTTATCAAAGTATTATATTTATTGCGTACAATAAACATGGTTTGTACTAAGAACTCTGACATTTGTCAAGTCAATTATGAAAGATGTAAACATTACATTTACCATCCGAGTCGTGGTATATTTTGTAGGAAAATACCGTGATACATTACTTAAAACTATTCAAACAATTAAGATTGTTTACGTAATTGATAATTAAAAAAATGCTTAACTAAAGCTGCAATGCAATATATATATCACAACTAAATGCATTTATGCAATGTCAAACACAATTTCTAGTAAACAATCACATAGTTAAACCAAGTAATATCAAATGAACATTTCTCGCATATTAACTAATTTGTCGAATTATTCAAAACCATCACGCAATAAAAGCTATCATAAACATCAGCAATATTTGTGGAGTCCGAGTCCCATCTGAAATGACATCCCATCCCCACGTGTTGCCTGCCTGTTTATCTCCTTGTGTCGCTCTCTGCTGACTATTTCCTCTATGATCTCACCCTCGCCACGCACCAGCCGACTCCTTCCTGTCTCAGGATCATACATGCGCCTCACAATACTCTGCTGCTTATCATACTCTTCCTTTGTCATTGGTGCACGAACTTTTCGTGCTCGTTCTGCTTCCTCAATCTCTGGAGCAGTAGGTGGCGCCACCTGTGGCACATTAGATTTAACAAGCGGGATATTCGGCAGAGGATGCGGGTGTGTCTGCTCCTTGCCCACCTGCTTGAGTGACTTCTTCTTTTCTTTCTTTTTCTCTTTCCGTTTTAATTTCTCTCTTTTCTTACGTTTTTTCCGACTTTCTTTCGCCGCTTTTTTGTTATCGGAACTATGATAACTTGCCGATGTATTGTGGCTGTGCTTCTTCTTTTTCTGTTTACTCTTGTGCTTTTTCTTCTTTTTTGGCTCTGATGCCCGTCTTTCGTCCAAGTTTGATGATCCAGCAGAGCTTGAGTACTTGCGTTTTCGCTTGCGCCTCTTCTGCTTATCATTACTAGAATCAGATTTATTGCTACTGCTGCTGCTGCTGCTGCTACTGCTGCTGCGATGGCTGCTGCTGCTGTTGCTGCGACGGCTGCTGCTGATGATGATATCAGAACTTATCTCTGCTGTGCATCTGCTACGCCGGTCGTGTGTCACTTTCTCACTCCTGTCCCTGCTAGAGCCATGAGATTTGCGTTTTCGTGAGCACTTTACACGTTCCAAACTGCTAGAGTCCGAAGACAAAGATGAGTGCCTTCGCTTGCATTTCGCATGTGTTTGATGCACTGCTGCAGTTGTTCTGTTATGTCGAGCTGACTCCATGATTTCCACGTGGTCTACCTAGTCATACAGATCCTGCCACTCCCTGCAGAAGAAGAAAAACAGATCGACATTACAGGGGTGGAAATAAGGAGAAAAAAAGAGATGGTCCTGTAGTTTGAAATTTAGATGGTCCTCCTAAATTTTAGCTGGTCCTCCTAAATTTCAAATTGTTCTCTGAAAGTAATGCGGCGTACAAGCGTAAGAAAGAGATTTTACATGGTGATAATTATTCACCTACAATGAATGTATCAAACAATACAGTAATTGTTTATTCACTTTAATAGTATAGTGGTTAATAAAGTTGTTTCAGTAGAATTTAGTTGAACTCATAACGGTCCGGTCCGTCAAACCATTGACTTTGAAAATCTGATGGTCCTCCTGATTATTTGATGGCCCCGGACTATAGCTCCTTATCAAGCACTCCATCTTAACTCCATGCAGATACTGAATTGAAACTGAACCAAGTTGTATTTTTACATTAGAGTTTGTCGACAAACTTGTGTGTTGATTGTGCTATTTTGATAAAGGGGGACATACATGCTTTCTTGTCAGGTGGTTACCAGTTTGACACATGTAAAGTCAACCCTGTGTAGGCCAAAAAATTTCGCTCTAGACATTTTTATAATCTGACTCTATTCTAGGGACCAATAGCATTTCATACACAAATGTGGCAAATTTTTGTACGATAACTTTTTCAATGTTTCTGACCATGTAACATTGAAAGTCTAAGAAGTATCTACACATCTCACTTTATTTACATCTTACATCATTAACAAAGCATTTGCTATACATGTATTATCTGATTTTTGAATACATTTTTTCCAACAACCAATGAAATCATTGCTGGTCAGTGCAATTGAAGCAATTAGATTGCAATTTCTGTTCTGATGAAGTTTTAAACATTTGGTAAAGTGATACCTTCACAAGATCAATAGTAATTTTATAATTTGAAGGGGCTTTCTAGCTTCACTAGTTGATCCTTTACTTTGCACAATTACGTGCTTATTAATTTGCACGATAACTCCCGGTCCACCTAATCTAGAGTATATAAATATAATAGTTTCAACGAGCATGTTTTTCATGAATCGACATAGGCCATGCAACCCACTTATGATCGTTGGTGATAGCCTAGCTAAAGAATCAAGCTTGTGAAAGAACAATATGTCTGCCATATTGAAGGAGATAAGAACGTCCATGTCACCAGTGAAATATGTGAAAACTGGTTGTAAATCTCAGAAAATAAGGAATTGTGATGGGCCATTTCGGTTCAAGGATAGAGAACATGTGTCCCAATAAAACCAATGTCATTTACATCAATATAAATATAATATTATATCAATATAATAGGTTAGGGTTAGGGTTAGGTTTAGGATTAGGGTTAGGGTAATAGGGTTAGAATTAGGGTTAGGGTTAGGCACATTGGTTTTATTTCTCCTCCTCTCTTACATTTGCTGCACGAAAACGAAAAGCTATGCTACAACGAACAATGCTACAAGGTCTAGTGAGTCCTAATAGCGCAAGTTCTTTGCACCTACGATGCATTATATTAATACACGGCCACAAGCAACACAAAGGTCACTAACAGGAGTGTTAGGACTCCGACTCGGAGTGGCAGACTTTGATGACATGCGGATTTTGCGCCACTCATGTGCTTTACCTGTTAATTGGGTTCAAGGATAGAGATGATGTCCAGGACGGCGATAGGATAGGGTGATGTTTATTACTGGACATGCTCTCTATCCTTGAGACCAACTATTCACAAAATAGACATAAAGTTTATTTCCATTTTAAGTTTTTGTTTTTAATGTTCGGTTTCCAATGGGCGACGCCATGTTAATGGTTACGCGCGCCATCTCTTGACTTTTATACTAACCAACGCAAAACATTCGCTGCTAATACACGCACATCTCTATTTTTTATTTATTTAATTATTTAGGCAATTATCCATCATATACAATACATTGCATACTTTTACAATAAAAATTTGAATTCATAAAATTGGATAATTACCAAGGATATATACACAAAAAGCATGACTAGCACACTTATTTACATTGTGGTCCTTGTTTTGCTATGCCTTAATTGAATCTACATGAGCATGATTTAGATTAGATTATAAATATAACATAACATAATATATCATT